CGCTGGTTGGGGGAGGCGGAATGCAGCATGGAGATGCGGGCACCCCATGAGCCTGCAATGGGGGGGATGCAGTGAGCCAGGGGGCAGAGAGCCTCGGCACAGAGCTCCCGGACCAGTATCCCTGCCCCACGGCGAGGAGCGGGGCTGCTGGCTCCTTGTTATCCATCACTCCCCCCACATCACTCCTGCTGCTGCTACGGGCAGTTTGGACAAACGGATGGAGACCAAGTGGTCCCCCAAGGTGAGACCCCAGTGCTGGGAAGGGTCCATCCTCTCTGCCTCCATACAGCTTAGACCAGCTCCAGCCAGTCTAACAACACTGGAACAGGTCAGTCCTCGCTCCTCCCCATTTTCCCTGTCTCCACAGGGAAGGGCAGCCCCCCGTCATTTTCCTTGGAGTCCCCTGCCCACCCGGCCGGGAGGGACCAGCCACCCTTGCAGGGGAGGGACAGCTTGGAAGCAGCGCAGCCACTTGCCTCTCCGGCTGCTCTTGAAGCGCGGGTCCTGATTCCCCTGTTGCAGGGAGCAGGGGCAGGAGGGCAGGTCCTGGCTCCATGCCTGTGGATCCTGCTCCCGCCCCGTCCATGCCAGGCACTTCAGCCGGTAGTTGATGCCAACGCGGCTCTCCAGCTTGTAAATCCACAGCCCGCGGAGGTCTGAGCAGGGAGAGAAACCGCGAGCTGTCACCTCCGGCCAAGGTGACCGCAGGGACATCACTCGAGGTGAGTGATGCTGATGCTGGAAGGTAAGGCAGCGTTGACCCCCCAGCTGTGGGACCCTGTGCCTAACAGCCACTGGCACCAGGGAAGCAGGGGGAGAGGCTCTTGCCAAAGAATAAAACCTTGGGACAGAGCCATCGCAACAAAAAGGGTCCATGAGCATATAAAGGATGTTTCAGCCTCAGGGAATAGCTGGTACCCAGGGGAGGCATTTTATGTGCTTGAGGGGAAAGCTTGGCCTTGGTGAACTCAGCAAGAGCCCTGCCACAGCAGCAGGCTGCACTTCATCCCCTAGGAACATCCCCCTCCCCACGCAGCCCTTCCCAGACCCCCCAAGAGGCTGCGCGACCCCCCCAGCCACGCGGCGCTACCTGTGTTGTAGCCCCTGAACTGGTCAGGGCGATATTTTTCAGCTGGAGATCTCTTAGTCAGATCATCGTTGTAGTAAGAGCCATCCCCGCTGCGGGGAGAGGAAAGGGGAAAAATCAGAGGTTGATCTTTCCAGGTGGGGTTAGCCCAGTCCCAGCCCCAGCCTGGCCTTTGGCCACCCCGCTCCGGAGCCAGCAGGACCCCACAGCATCCAAATTGCAGCCCTGGGGAGAGGAAGGCAAAGGCACCAGCTCCCCCAGCCCGCTGACTCCTCTCGGCAGGGTGCAGCTAGTTTTGGGTGCTGCAAGCACTCCTACGGCATCATGGCTGAACCTAAGACCCTGCGAGCAACTTCCATGGTTTCCAGCATCTTGCAGGGCGATACAGAGCAGAAACCCACAAGGAGTCGTGCACAGGCAAGTGTACACACTGGCCGGTGCCGCCCGCACTTCCTGTCCCGGCCACCTTTTCCTTACCCAGCTGCAGCACGCAGCTAATGAGCAAACCCCGGGGACAGTGTGCACGGGTGAGATGTAACGCAAGGAGGCAGGAAGCGATTGCTCCAGCCAAGCAGCAGAAATCCCTTCCCTCCGCTGGTGCAAAGTTCAGCAAACATCCCCTATTCCTCATTCCATCCACCCGAACCACCAGGATGCTACGTGCCCAGGACCCCAGAGGGATGTGTGGATCCTACAACAAGCCCAGCCCAGCAAGTCATAAAATCATAGAATGGTTTGGGTTGGAAGGGACTTCAGAGATCATCTCGTTCCAACCCCCTTGCTATGGGCAGGGACACCTCCCACTAGACCAAGTCAGTGTGCTGCAGGGTCATCCAGCCACTAACAGGGCAAATTTGGTTGTGAGACCAAAGTTAGGCTATACGGGCATGCAGACCCCACCCAGGCTGTCATCATCCTTGCAGGGCACTTGATGGGACACGGAGGGAAGGATTAAACCGGTTGGAGCCAGGGGTGGGATGCAGTGCAGTGCTGGGAGGAGGCAGAGGCAGGGTGCTGAGCGCGCTGTACCTGGTGTAGCCGATGAGCACGTTGGTGGCAGGGAGCCTGGTGTAATCCCATCGCATGCCTCCATCCTGGTACAGCATCAGGACGTAGGACCTGAAGCCATCGGTGGTCAGGACCGCCTGGTATGTGA